ATTACACACAAAAAAAAAAAACAACAAAAATCAAACTTTTTAATAAAAAAAAAAAAACATATTTAATCCTCTTCATATAAGTTATAAATATTATCATAGAATCATATAAAACTTTCTTTTTAAGTGTTTTTTTTTAAGTCACGTTTTTTAAGCTAAGATAAAACTTTTTTTTAAACTTTTTTTAAAAAAAAAACTTACCTTTTGCAATACTTAACTATGGTACGCTTGAAAAATATTTTTACAACCAATCTTAAGCAAAAACAAAGATGACATTAGACAGCCCAAGAAAAACTTTTTATCATTTCTTATCTTAAAAGAGTTCCTGGTGCCACTGTACGTGGAATAGCTGATAGATTTTAGGTTTAACCCAAGCAAATTCAGTATTAGAGAAATAAGTGAGAAGAGCTATTATTAGCTCAACCTTATATTAAGCATCTTAATACTGGTACTTAACCAAATTATCCTAATCTTGAAGCAGAACTTGCTGAGTGAGTTTAAGCTTTACGTGCTAAGTTAAAACCAGTTAGTCATAATATGGTACGAGCAAAAGTAGCAGTATTAGCAGAATCTCCACAATATATTCTTCAATATCCTGGTATTGACAAGTCTAAATGGAGTATCAAGTAGTTTGAAGGCTTTTTACGACACTATAATTTTAGTAACTGTCATAGAACAACTGTCACACAAAAGTTACTAGAAGAATTAGAAGTACAACAGCAAGAATTTTTAAATTTTGTTCAATATCGCTGTATTCAATATGATTACTCATTGTCATTAATGAGCAATATAGATGAAATCCCTCTTGCTTTTGATATGCCGAGCAACGTAACTATTGACAATAAAGGAAGCAAGACTATTAGTATTAGAACTTGCAGTTATGAAAAATCTTGTTTTACTGTCGTTCTTGCATGTATAGCAGATAGTAAAAAGTTACCACCAATGATCATTTTTAAATTAAAAAATGTTCTATGTCTTGAGTTTCCACCAGGTGTAATCGTTAAAGCTAATGAAAAAGGATAAATGAATAAAATTGAAATAAATTATTGGATAGAAAACATTTGGAAAAACTATACACCATGTTCTAAGAATCCACGATTATTATTAGTAATGGATTCTTTTAAGGGTCATCTAGTTTCTTCTGTTAAAACTAATCTTTTTGAGAAGAACACTAATATTGCAATTATTCCTGGAGGGTTAATATCAAAAATTCAACCACTCGACGTATCAATTAATAAATCTTTTAAAGCAAAGAGGCGATTTTTTTTATTTTTATTTTTTATTGTAATACTACTAATATATATTAATATATCTTTTTATTTATATTAACAGATCAGGTCTATGTACGATGAATGGGTATCACAAGAAATAAGAGAATTAACTAAAAGTGGCCGAATTAAACATCCTCCCTATAATATTATTGCAGAATAGGTTAAGCGTACATGGGATGCTATTGATATTCAGCTAATTAAGCGCTCCTTTAAATGTTGTGATATCTCGTTACAACTGATGGATCAGAGGATGATTTAATTTTTGACTATGATCGTGTTGAAAATAACAAAGTTGATGATAATGAAATTGTTGATAATGAAATCGATGATAATGAAGTTGACGAATATATTTTTAGCAATAGTACCGTAAAAGATTTGATTTTATTTTAATTTAGTAAAACTTTTTGTTTTAACAAAATTTTTATTCTAACAAGACCTCCCGCCTCAACAAAATCCTCCACCTCAACAATACCTCTCATCTCAACAATGCTACCTACTACAAGACCTCCCACTCCAACAAAATCTACCTCAACAATACCTCTCACCTCAACAATGCTACTCACTACAAGACCTCCTGTTTCAACTTTCTCTGCCTAACCAGCACCAACAAGACTTTCTGTCTCAACAAAATTTTTTGTCTCAACAAAGCTTCCTATCTCAACTATACTTTGCACTGCAAGGTTTCTTGGTTCAACAAAATTTTTTGGCTCAGAACAGGAAATTTGAATTTTATAATAATCAGAATGAGGTGAAAAATTTCATGAATCAATGGAGTTAAAACTGTAATAGAATAAATTTTAAAAGTTTAAATTAACTTACTATTTGATCTTTTAATATTTGAATAAATTAATTGAATATCGAATATAATATATGATAACAATTCAGTTTTTTTTTTTTCTATTTCATTTGCACAACTTTATAAAGATTCTTGCACAAAGATTCTATTTCTATATATATAGTAATTTAATATTAGAAACTGCTACAAAAATAATATAGGCCACATTTGAGTAGTATTTGAAATACGCAGAAAATACTTCTTACTCTAAACACAAATATTATCAAAATGGTTGTGGGAGAATGTTAGTGACTTTACTGTACTGTACATTACATTACTAGAACTATTGAAATCGTTTCTAACAAAAGCTGGTGAAACGCGTGTTCTAATGCAATCTCAAATGCTTAAATAAATAGTTCTAAGGTAGTAAGTAATCTTAAAAAAAGTTAAAAAAATAGTAATGTTATTAGTGGTTATTGATTTGTACCTGGGTATCTTACAAAATACCATATCCAATGACTTTGAATTATACTCAGTACAAATCAAGAGGGATACCAATCAAGGGAGGTACTTTATATGGTAAAATATAGTAGTTTAGTTGAACAGAGTGTTTAAATAGGTAATTCACAGGTGAGTTATAGGTATAGCAGCATAGTGTAGTACTAACAGGTAGTCTAACGTCTGCATAGCAGACTACTTAAATTAGACAATGACTAAAGTTGTATATGTGGCTTGTTGTATACTCTTCATGTAACTGAAAACTGTAGGGGAACCTTATGTAGGACCTCATATATCAAATTAATAAAAATTACTCGGCAATATAAACTACCTTAAAAATAAAAAAAAATAAATAGTTAGTTTTTTAAATGTACTTTATTATCGCTTTTACAGATAACTTATTAGCTAAGAATAGATTTAAGTAGTACTATTAGATTCAGATCGATTAGATCTTTCAAACAAGCTATAAATCATATTTGTAGGACAGATAGTTATTGAGTTACCTTAAGAATAATTTTAGCGTAATTTACAATTTTTACAATTCTTATAATTCTTATAATTCTTACAATTCTTACTGTCAATGTAAAAGCTATATAAACCCTTCCTTTTCCTTTGCTTCAACTTAGGATTTTACCTCTGCAATCTTCTTAATATTAGAATTTTCTTAGCACAGAAACTAATAGATAGTCTTGTATTATCGATATTGTATTCTTAAATAAAGTATAATCTTTGCTCTTTCATTAACTTTGTAACGAACTGCTACAGTGAAATAATATTCTACTTGGACACTGTTGAGAGTCCTCTTCCATATCTTATGTTACTTGTATTGAATCAAGAAGGCTGACACTTGTAATATTTTGGTGCCTTCTGGCAGAAATACAAAGAAATACTTCTAGAAGAATAATTAATTAAAGAAACTTTAAAGAAGCCCTAAAGAAACCTTTCTTGAAGTTAAAAAAATCCTCTCTTTTCTCCTTTAACAATCTCTAAAGAAGCCTTTCTTAGAAACCAAGAAGCCTCTCTCTCCTCCTTTGCTGATCCTGATCTATGTCATATCCAGTTTACATTATACTATGACACAAAAAAAAAAAAAATTGCCCTATATTGCCCCAGACCAAGGAAGATCTATTTTACATTACATAAACTTTTTAAAGTTGAATTTAGGCCTAGACTATACCCATTTGATTAGAAATTAAAGCTAGCAGCTTATTGCGATCCTTAGGTTAGAAACACCTGAAGAACAAGTACCCTATAAGCTAAACTTGTAAGTGTAAGGACTCTAATTAAAGCTAGCAGCTTATTGCGACTCCAGGAATAGGAACATCTGAAAGATGAGTATCTCATGAGCCAAAGTATAGATGTAAGGACTCTAATAGCTAGCAGCTTACTGTGAACCTTAATATAGAAAAGTTAAGCACAGATTACCTATAAGCTAAATATATAGACGTAAGTAATCCTAAATTCTAATCCATAGTCTCAGATACCCTATGACCCAAAGTGTAGGAGTAAGGTATCTTATTACCTAATATATATAAACAGAGCATATCAAATATATATAGAAAGAATACAAGCATACGATTTATAACATTAGAATACAAGTCAAGTATATACTGTACTTCAAACCTTAAACTCAGATTTATCCTGTCAGCTATGCTATTCAGGAACTGACCTTCACTGATCATACTGCAACTTTTGGAATTATTATAAATAAGAATACTATGCCTGATTCTATTTTTAACAAACTGCAATTGCACATCTAGAATTAACTAATAGCTCTACCTACTCTAGAGCCAGAGCAGTAGCATATGATATAATATTTAGTTGCCTATATAATATTCCTATAGAAAACCCTAAAAGCATTGTTAAAACCTTTCTAGTTAAATATACTTGATACATTCTACAATCTCATCTCTCTTTTGGCTTTGAAGTCACAGCTTTTGATACCTATATTGAATTCCTAGCTAGTGCCCCTTTCTTTAACCTTTATTTAAAAAGAACCCTAGCAGAAGCTCTAGGTGATCTTGGTTCCCCTATCTTTAACGAATATACTGGTAGCTTTGACTATTTTGAATATAGCTCTGTAGTTAGTAAATACTTAACAGACCAAGCTACAACTTCTGCAACCTATTCTTCAATCTCTATAATCTCCTATAATGAAGATACTACTCAAATACAATTCCTTCTATTTGATAGATAATGAAGTTCTACTTTACCTCTAACTAATATTCCCCTCAGACCTCCTATCTCTATACCCTCTTCTCAATTCCTCTCTACTCCCCCTACTAATATTTCTAATCAATGATATTTCAATTTCAATATTAATCCTCGAACAGCAATAACTAACTTTATTCATCAGTTTACCCCTACTACTACCTCATCTAATAGGAACCTTCTAATCCCTGAAAATTATCCTCAGACTAATCTAGACCTTAATAATACTTCTCTCTCACACTATACTCTGCTAAACTCTCTACCTCCTTATCAACTTATTCAACTCCTAAGCCAACCTAATCAACTCTTTGATAATATAATCCAAATTTTAGACGATTTCAGAATCGATCACAATTCTCTAAATAACAAAAAAATTAAGAAGACTATAATCTTGATAATTTCTTTGATGTTAAAAACAATAATCAAGAAGCAGAAAACCAACAAGAAGACTCAAACAATGAAACTATCCAAACAAACGAATCAGAAGAAGATATAGCTGAACAAGCTTTAAAAGATGCTACTACAGCTATAACTACATTAGCTCGAGCCCTAGGTACTAGCAGTGAAAAGACTCTGTTTAAAATTGAATCTTTTTGAGATAATAGAACTCAAAACCCTATAACTTGGTTAGATAATTTTGAACAAGTAGTCAAGGCTAATAGATGGAATGCTACTCGACAACTTGAACTTGCATTTGCTTACCTAACTGATAATGCTTAGGAATAGCTCCAAAGTTTAGTCAATGCCTCTACTTATTTTAGATATCAATAGTATGAACAGATAGTTGATGAAAATAATGTCTATAGTTTTTACTATCTGTTTAAAGAAAGATTCTGTACCACTTAACAAAAAGCTAGCTGGCAAAAACAACTCTTTGCTATACAACAAGGCTCAGATACAGTTAACATCTATATTAACAAATTTAAACAATTAAAAGAACGAGTTGATCCAGAAGATAATTTTCCCCTAGTTTTCTAATGCAACTTTTTGTACAAGAACTTTGACCAGAATATTCAGTAAATATCCAAGCCTCAGAACCTGCAAACCTAATAGCAGCAATAACTGCAGTATGACGATAGGAAACTGAAACACTTATAGCCTCTAATACTAGCTCTAATACGAACAAAGCTATTGAACAACTCACTAAGCAAATAGCTGAGCTAAATATAAACCTTACTAAGAAACAGACCACTCCTACTCCTAAACCAATCTACTACTCAAATAACTCAAACACAAACAGATTTGATAACAATAACTAGCAGGATACTACTTGCTATTATTATGAAAGTAAAAGATATTACATTAAAGATTGCTACAAACAAAAAGAAAATTTTTGACATGATTCCTACTCTAATTCTAGATCTAGTCACTACAATAGTTCCTGCTCTAATAATAACTATAGGTTAGATAATAGAAGGAATAATGATCATTATTATAATTGCTCTCAATTTCAAGAGAGAAACAGATCATATAACAACAACTGATGCTATGACAACTCTAAGTATAATAACAGAAATAGAAGCCAAGAAAGAAGCACTTAAGAAATAGCCTCAAAAACAGGAATGTTGACTACAGATTAAGAAACAAAATTCAAATAACTACTCAGAGAATTTGCAGACCTCTTCACAAAAGATATTACTCAATTAGGTAGAACTAACCTAGTAACTCTCAAAATATATACTGAAGATATACCTCCTATAAGTTCTCAACCTTACTCAGTATCTATTACTGAACAAGCCTTTATTAATGAAGAAGTATAACAGATGCTTGATAACAACTTAATTAGAGAATCGACTAGTCCATAGGCATCTCTAGTTGTTTTAGTTATGAAAAAAAATAGAAAGAAAAGATTTTGTGTAGACTATAGAAAACTTAACATGATAACTAAGAATGACTCTTATCCTCTTTCTCGAATAGATGAACTTTTATACTCCCTTACAGGAGCTACATATTTTTCTACTCTTGATCTTATGAGTGGATATTGGCAAGTAATGATGCACTCTGCAAACAGAGAGAAAACAGCTTTTATCACTAAATATGGTACTTATGAGTTCAATATAATACCATTTGGTAGGGTTGTTAATGGAGTAGCATACTCTGGAACAGCTCTGAAGTGAACCCAACTCAAGTTGGAGTAGGTTAAAGTTATGACTAAAAATCTGGAGTGAAACTGGAGTAAACCAGAGCAACTACTAAGCAAGTCTGAAGTGGCTCTGGAGTAAACCCAACCTAAGTTGAAGTGAGTTGAGGATTAGTTCAACCTAACCCAACCCAACCCAACATATTAACAACCCTACCATTTGGGCTATGCAATGCCTTTGCTACTTTTCAACATCTTATGAATCAAATTTACCAAGGCATAGCCTATAAATATATTATCATCTATCTAGATGATACCAATGTATTTTCACAGATATTTGAAGATTATATTCAACATCTTCATAAAGTATTTACTAGAATCAGAAAAGCTGAACTCAAGCTTAACTTAGAAAAATGTATCTTTTGGATAAAACAATTACCTTTCTTAGGACATATTATAGAAGCCAAAGAAATCTTACCAGACTCAGAAAAGATTATAGCTATACAAAATATTCTCCTTCCTACAAATATAATTCAACTCTGATTATTTTTAGGACTCGCTAGATATTATAGACGATTTATATAAG